CCTGCTTAAGAACGTTTCTTCCACTCCTTTGACCAGCTCTGCTAGCAACTCTACTACTAGTGTTCCTTCATCTACTCCTTTGAACACTACTAGCAGTGCTTTGCCTACTTCTTCCCCTGCTAAGAACGTTTCTTCCACCCCATTTGTTAACAGCACTAGCAGTGTCTTGCCAACTTCCGCTCCTGCTAACAACACCGCCTCTACTCCTTTGAACACTACTAGCAGTGTCCTACCCACCTCTTCTCCTGTTAGAAACGTTTCTTCCACCCCATTTGTTAACAGCACTAGCAGCGTCTTGCCAACTTCCGCTCCTGCTAACAACACCGCCTCTACTCCTTTGAACACTACTAGCAGTGCCTTACCCACCTCCGGTCCTGCTAGTGCTGTGAGCAATTCTAGTGCTACTAGCCCCGTCACAGTTAGCACTACCAGTTACGCCAACAGTACTCTGCCTGTTACCAGCACTGTTACTGGCACCGAAACCGTGACTACTTCTAATAATATTACAACTACTGCTACTGTACCAACAACTGAATTGTCGACTGTTACTGATCCTAGCAGTGCTTCTGCCCCTAGTACAAGTTACTACAGCACTACTGTGACGACGACTGGTCATAGCTCTACGCCTGTTACTGAGACTCGTACTTACACTAGTATTGTTACCGTGGACGGTACAAGAACTGTTGTTGGTACATCTGTTGTTCCTACTTCGGTTACTTCCACTGATCTTACGACTAATACTGTCACTGGCACTGAAACAACTACCGTCTCTCCCAGTGTTACTGATACTGCGAACCCTAGTGGTACTGATACTACAAACGCTTCCCCTGCTAACACTCAGGCCGTCACTAACACTAACCCCTCAACTGAGACCCATATCTTCACTACTACTAGCGTTGGTACAGCTGCTGAAACCAAGACCTTACCTCGTACAGTCTCTTTGACTAGTACTGTGGTTGCGGGAACTACTACTTATGTGGCTGCCACTTCATCTACTGTCCCAGGTTCTTCCGCTACCGTTGCCCCTGGCGGTGGCTCCTCCAGCTTCACCAACGGTACTTATCCCGTCTCCAATATCACTAGTACTCTTCCAGTGAGCAGCACCGCGAGCTACAGTAACTACACTACAGTTGTAACTGGTAACGCAACTTCTACATTCCCTTCCTCTTACTTGTCTACTGGTGACAGTACTTTCGTAACCTCCAGCACTCAAGTCAGCTACCCTGGAAATGTCAGTAGTAGTCTAGCTAGCGGTTCCAATCAGAGCGGTAACATTACTTCCGGCATCAAGACCGCATCTCAAACCTCCTCCAATAGCGGAAGCAGCAGTTTCTCCGCTCAACCTTCGGCAGCCTCCACAGGATCCAAGGCCTCTATCTTCTTGACTGCCCTTTCAGTCGTTGCAGTTTTCTTCTTCCTCTCTTGAAGCGGTGAAGCTTTAAGTTGAAGAGATATTTATCAAACGTGTTTTAAATAATTTGCTTGTTTATATTATATATATATGTATTTAGTATTGGAAGGGATTTCCAAGGATTCCTTTTTTTTACTTCAATATTTTGCTTTAACGGGATTGCCTCGATTGGTTTTTTTTCTGATATTTTTTGAAATTCTTTTTAAATAATATTTTTTGGTTGAAACTCATTTGAGAACAAGCGTCGTATGTACTTTTTTTTCAGAGCAGTAGAACAATTGTGAGTTCCGATCATCTTAGCAATGGACTTTTTTTAGTCTTAGCTAGTATACCTAAAAGTGTTTAAGTTCAAGTTCTTTTATTGTACTTTGTGATTGTTTACAAGAATTACGTTTAGTTTGGTTCGTTACTTTTTAAACAACACTAATAGTCAATCTATGAATCGCCATTGAATCATTAAAAGTTGTGGTTTTGCCTAGTCTTTTATACCTTTTTCTTATCAAGATACTTTTCTTTGATGAATGGGAAAGAGGGGTAAACCCTGGAAGAAAAGGGGATGAGACGGAATTTTAGATAGAACAAAGCAAACAAAGAGGGGAGAGCAGCATTGAGGTGAGGGGAAAAGATTATGTGAAAATAGGGTCTTAGAAGGTTTTATGTACGGGTTTTTAGTCTTTGATTTCTCTCTTTATTTCGTTCTTTCGTTCTTTCTCTCTCTCTTATTTTTTTTTACTACTATTATTATTATTATTAATATTATGTAACAGTTTTCTATTACAATATTTCAAAAGTATCATCCTATAATTGCCATCGCTGTCTGTATGGTAATTTGAAATTGCGAAAGGAACCAAAGTAACAGGTAAAGGTTGGAGACCATATTGGGCAAAATAGATGAGAATGATGCATGCAACCTGCTAAGAAAATCACCATCTGAGAGCCATACACTACAGACATTGGTTAAAAACCATTTTGTTGGTGACGAAAGATTTTAAAAAGCAGCTCTATCTCCGTGGACTGGAATGGAGTTGTATGACTGAACGATTAACAATTAAAGTGAATTGACAGCTACAGCTGGATACCTACCTACGTGTCGAAATCTACAAAGTACCATATGAAGCGTCTCGGTCGTGGCGATGCAAGAGGCGGATCAAAAGCGAGCGGCCGAATCAACGTATGGAATTGAAAACGTTTATGTACTAGAATTGTCTTTGGATGGCAATATCTTATATGGTACAGAAAACTTTACTCAGTTGGTTGGGTATGTTGAATTGAGATGGAGAGGTTCGCACCTGCTTGTGGTGTTAGACGGTCGGACAGACGAGGTGGTATAGGTATAGAAGGATGGATGCTAACAAAACTTGCCGTATAGTATTACATTCTCGACATTAATTGGAAAATGCGTTCGAAGCTTACTACTAGACGACGAAAAGTTTGAATGGGCTACACAGCAACTACTCGAAGATGACTCGAAGAGCGTTCGAGTCTCTTTTACACTTACTCCATCATCCGAGCCGGAAGAACAGATTTTTTTCGAAGATGAGGAAATGGAAGTACCGCTAGAACAACCCCTTGAGCTTGATTGTATTGGAATCCTCATCCGGGACTCGCAAACAAATGATCCTTCTCATACTTTGTGGGTTATGAGGCCTCTCAAGCTGTTCACCGAAATTAAACAGGAAATCGGGCAACAGCTCACTCAATTCCTCGGTTTCGGTGCCCATTTGCTCGCCGAACATCTTCAAAAAATAAAAGAAATCCCGTTTCCGAATCCCTTACCACCCTTCGAGACGATTCTCTGTCGCGTATGCGATCGTGAAATCCAAAATTGGTTCTTTGAACAGCACTCTGAGTACTGCTTGCTTACCCATCATGCAGAAGCGCGTGTGCAAAGAGCCAACGACATGCTAAATGAGCAAAGGAACCTTCTACAAATCCTCTTAGATACATTGGATTCTACTTACTCCCAAGACTATCCTCACGTGTATTATACAAATATGGAATTAGGGACCGTACTTCCTCCTTCTCTTCATGATTTCTTAAAATCCAGTTCTTCTCAAACCAAGAAATCCGAGAAAATCCGCCATTTCCTCTACAACATGCTTCTAGAAACCCTTCGCTTTATTGACTGTTCCCTCGCCATCCACTTACCTTCCTTACCCTCTGTTGAAGATAATGAGCAAGATATGCCGTTTAGCTCTGTTCGTCTCCTTTCTCCTGCTAGCGAGGTCTTGAATGCAAAATCATTATCATGGTGTTTGCCCCAAGTTGACGACCCTGGTCTCAGAAAGCTTTTTGACGACAGTAATGCTCTTGTACAAAAGAAGCTTGATGCAAATGCTCGTCTAATCAACATCATGTATTACGCGGAACGTTTACGTTGTGAAGTCGAAGACCAAGTCCAAACCATAGTTGAACAATACGTTCAAGATCACGATACCCAACCTTCTTCTTTAAATAAAGATGTCCTCGTTCCCTCTTCGTTAGACCAACTTGAATCTCCCTCTCCCTCTCCCTCTCCTTCTTTTCATCCCTTATATACCGACACCCCAACCTCAGCCTATATACCAAGTGCCAATCCCTCTAATCGGCTTCCGGTGCTTTCTCGGGCAAATTTTGAATCGGTTCCCCCGGTTGGCGAAAAAGATAGCCCTTCATCAATCAAGAATATTCGCCAGTTTTCCTCCACTCTTGGTCCTTGTAATTCCCCCTCCAGTACTGCGAACACCGGTGTTCCTATTACCTCCCGTAGAAAATCTGTCAGCACTATGAATGCGATTTACGGTGTCGGGTCGTACACCTCGGATGCATCGCCAAAGTTTAGACCTTCTTTTTCTCTAGAGCGAAGTTCTTTATCAAAACATGCCGATTCCCCCAATACACCTTTAAGTAAACAGGTAGGTATCTCTACCATTGCCCCCAACTCCACTTCCAAGGGACATCCTTCTATACAAGATTATGAAATTATTAAGCCCATCAGCCGAGGAACATTTGGTACTGTTTACCTCTCAAAAAAGAAATCTGTTGGCGAAATCTACGCCATTAAGGTCTTACGCAAGGTGGACATGATTCTTAAAAATCAGGTTGCCAATGTTAAGGCTGAAAAGGCTATTTTAATGGCCCAGGAGGAATCTCCCTTTATTGCTAAGCTCTATTACGCCTTTCAAAGTAAGGATTACCTTTACCTTGTGATGGAGTTCATGAATGGTGGTGATTGTGCATCTTTGCTGAAATCATTGTACGCTATTCCTGAATCTTGGGCAAAGATTTATATAGCAGAGGTGGTGTTAGGTTTAGAACACTTGCACAATCTCGGAATTATTCATAGAGACATAAAGCCTGAAAACATATTGATGAGTAGTTCTGGTCATCTGAAACTTGCTGACTTCGGACTCAGTCAAATGGGTCTTAGAACAAGGCAATTCCGGTTACAAAAAGCAAAGTCCGTTTTATCACCTCCTAGTTTTCAGTCACCAACCTGTTTTCCAGAATCTAATGAACCACTGACAAATTCCCCTTTAATTTTACCTACGAGTGTTGGCCTTCACAACCTTTCGTCAGATTTACCCCAGAAGAAAAAAAACGAGTCTTTTCTTTTTTCTTATCAATCAGAAAATGAAGGGTTTGGAAGCTCAAGTAGTGAATTCACTAATAGGAATAGTGAATCAGAGTCAGACTTTGGATATCAGAAAGGCTCTCGTAATTTATTTGACCAATCTGTTCCTTTTTTCAAAATTGCAGATGCACCTAGGAAATTTGTTGGAACTCCAGATTATCTGGCTCCCGAAACGATTCAAGGAAGTACTCAAGATGATATGGTCGATTGGTGGGCTTTAGGTTGTGTATTTTTTGAATGTTTGTTTGGGTATCCTCCTTTTCATTCTGACACACCTGAAAAGGTATTCAATAATATTGTAGCTAACCGAATTAACTGGCCTGATTTGGACCTTTATCCTTGTTCTGAAGAAGCACTTGATTTGATTAAATCCTTTTTAAAACTGAATCCTGAAGATCGGCTTGGAGCCAAAGGAATTCAAGAGATTAAGCGACATCCATTTTTTGAAGGAATTAAATGGAATGATCTACTAAGTCATGAAGCTCCCTTTGTACCAAACCTTGAGACACCTTTAGATACTGTTTATTTCGATGATCGTGGTGCAGTTAACACGGAAAGGAACGTTACTCCGAATGATACGGTTGATGAAGAGTCTGTCCACTCATCTGGATCTGGCCGTCGCGTACAATCATCTTTGAGTCGGCAATTGCATAGTCGTGACCGAAGTATTTCTGGCAGACGCCATCGTCGGTTTAGCGAAAACATGAATGAATTTGATGAGTTTGGATCATTTTCTTACAAAAACTTGAGTGTTTTGGATCAGGCGAATAAGAATGCTATTGAAAAAATTAGGTCCGAGTTGAAGTCCAAGCTCCATATAATGCTTCCTGCTGCATCTTCCGCTCCAAATAGTGAAGTTTCTTCTGCAAAGGCTCCTGATCTACAATCATACAGCCCAGGTGTTCCAAGCTTCCCCTCTGTTTTTTCCTCTCAGGAATCTACGCCTCGAAAAGCATCCGGCGTTAGCGCTGAACACGATTTTAAAGGTAAAGTTGAATCTACTAAGCCTAATACGACTGATTTCGTCAAACAGTTGCATCTACGCAAGCATAGCATGACAAATGTATCGATTGCTTCTTCAGAAAGTGATGATTTTTTGTCCCTTGACCTTTTGCAAGCTAAAAATATTTCTACCGACCAACTGACAATGGTAAAATCTGATGAAGTTCATTCATCCCCACTTTCTTCTCCTTCAGTTAATTCTCCGACGATCCTAACCTCCCTTGCTCCCTTAAAAGTAGTTATATGTGTGGACAAAGTCGTGTCTTTCTCTGAACTTATAAAGCTCTTAAAGTCTTACAGGTTTCAAGTAACGGTTGTAGATGACGAGGATAAAATGCTGAGAATACTGATGTCTGATGAAAAGTTTTCTCTCATATTTTTACAACTCGACCTGACTCGAATTTCGGGAATTTCAATCTTGAAAATCGTAAGGTCGAGTAGTTGTCCGAATAGAAACACACCAGCAATAGCCTTACTGCCTTCCAGGATTGATATTAATGCGGCGATTCCACGCTTGTTCGATGGCCGTTTATATCTTCCTATAAACGGTTATCTTCTTCGAGGTTATATAGCTCGGCTGTGCAACCGATAAATATATAGTCCACTTTTTTGTTTTAGGATTCCTCGAGTGACGATTTTTGCAAATAATTAAACTATTGGGATGTTACGATATAACCTTACTACTATGGTGAATATTTAGAGGTCTTGATTTATGTTACCTTTGTTTAGAAATGTTTTGTTTTAGTTAATTTATTTCGTATGAACAAAAACACTAACGAAATATATAACTGTATATATCAATATATTTATTCATTTTTCTGCTGGAAAACCGCATCTTTATTTTTTTCCAAAAATCACAGATTTTGGCAAAATGAAAGTACAACAGTACATATCCTTTCGAATGTTAGACTTTTAAGCTGCCATTATCAGAATTAAACTTACCTTTTTTGGAGCTACTTTTCGAACATAGTGCAAACTTAATTCTTCAGGTTGCAAACGATATCCCATGGATGCCTCAATTCGCTGTATTGTTAGTAATCGTTGATATGCAAACCTTACTTACGTTTAGTATATCTTCATCCGGAGGATCGTATCTTGAGAAACAATGAACATGGACCTTTGGAAGTGAACGATTTTCAAATAAGTGCTCTTTTCCTTCGTAACATCCATTAAAGGCATCTAAAAATTCCAAAGCAGAGCCAGGAAGGTTCATCACATAGTGGGAAAATACTGGCGGGATACCAATGACACGTTTGGAAGAAGAAGCAGTATCTTTTGAGTTTCCTTTTGCAAGCTTTTTTGGAGGAGGGAGCTCTATGATTTCCTGCTTCGAAAACCTCAACAGCTCTTCAGCAGATGAACGGATGAAATGGCGACCATCTTGATTATAAGCTTTGACAAAATCTCCGACCTGATAATCGTTAGTAAAACACTAAGAAAACTTTACTCACCTTGTTGATTTGAACGTTGTCAACTAGGCTTTCGTAGCTTGAAGGATTCAAATCATTCGCAAAAACGATTACACGTTTTTTACCTGCTGGACATGCAAAAGGACCAACTCCGGCCATAACATCGCAAACCGCTTCTCCTTCTTGGAATTGGCTTACCAAGCGATCATGTTCAGTGCTGAGACGAGAATTCCAATACACCTTGGAAAAATCAAATCGAAATTTGCAGTTAGATTCGGACTTTAATAGTTAGAGGAATCTTAAATGAAAATGACATACCTGAACTACCATGAAATTTGGGTCTCCGGCTAAGACTTCCATCTGAAATGTTCTATATTTGGTGTCGATACTATCTGTCTTGTTCACAACTGTTTTAATAGAAGGATTCTTATCGAGAATAACTTGACCTATAAGGTACTTATATGGAAGCCATTCCTCTCGTAAATTCATATGAGCAATATGACCTACTGCAGTAAATCCAGAAGGATGCTCTTCTTTTTGACCTGGAGGAAGAATGGCATCTAAGATGTCCTCTTTATTTATTGAGTTAGTTTATACTTTAAAACGATCAAACGCGGACACAAGCTTTTCACGCTCACATACCAGCTCTCCAGTAGTCATAATCTACGGTAAGCTTAAATGGAACCAATTTTACATTATTTTCCTTAATAAATGACTTTGTTGTTTCCGAAAGTCCCTCAGTCCCTATCCGCTCATTAGCACACTTTTGCATATTGATTCTACTACATGGTGCATACCATCTAATGTAGCTTTTTGATTTAAGAGTACCAATTTACGGTCTTCATCTTGGTATACATGTTTTACTCGCGGTAACTCCAACAAATCCCTTGAGTCGTCAGTTGTTTACCTTAATAAGCTATCCGACGTACTTGCGACAAATTTTGTTCAAAATACCCACTTTCTGGGGAAGAACTCGAGCAGCTACGAGATCAAACGACTTTTTAAAAAGGTTCTTATCAATAGCTTTAGAGAAAGGACTCATTTTAATCGGATCTAAGCGTAACTCTCCTTCCATAATGTTTTAGTAATGTTGAAGAGTCCTTGGTAGAAAGCTACTTTCAATATCTCAACAGAACTATATTAAATGTCTGCTAAAAAAAACTTCTAAGAGTATTGCTATTATATCCTAAGAAAAAAAGGACTTTCATATAACTATACTTTCGAGTCCTGAAATCTCTGCTAGAATGCTCCATGCTCTAATCGTCAGAAGTTTACTATTTCCACCGTTAAGCGAAATATTCCTGCTATTGCCTTTTCGATGATGCAAGGACCATAAAGACGCGATGTTCTCAATGACTCTTCCGTCTGCTAAGAACGAGTTCAAGTTACTTTAAGTACTCGTACTCCCTGTCTTTGAGCATTATGAATTTTAGACGTGAAATGGCTCCGGTTTTGAAGTGCTGAAAAACTTTGGTTCCAGAAGGAGGAACCGATTTAACTCTTATTGAATGACATGAGTGCTAGCTATAGCTTATAATCATCGTACTTTTCAACTAGAGATTATTATTTATTGCCTATTCTTTTATAGGTCTTCCGTCGTTGGTCTTATTGTTTGTTTACGTTGTGACATTTTGACAACAATGGCAGTCAATTGTTTTTGTTTTGATTTATACATATATACTACTTTTCTTCTAAGGTTCGCTCATCCTTTCCCATTCACCATTACTTATAATTTAAAGGAATTCCGTTTTGTGCACTATAAATTTCTACATCAAAGAACTTGTTAACATCAAGGTGTTTGTAGATCTTTATTTGTTTTGATTTTTGATTATCAATCTTCACACAGTAAGTACTTAAACAATTGAAGATTTACCTTTGTGAAAGTCTTGAAAGTGGTTTACTTTATCACTATTGTGTCAATATTCTAAAAAGTGTGATTGAATTATAATTAATACGATTCCCTTCAGAATTGCACTTTCATTTCTATCTTTCTTACTTTTTTGAGTTTGTCTTTTGCTCCTGGAAGGAAAGTTTTTATTTTTACTACCAGCCTGATTTTTGTCCCTTAAAGAAAGTTGTTTTGAATCGTTCATAATGTTGGGTGACATTTATGGAAACAGACTTTTTTCTCAGAACCTTTTGTCTTATTCAGACATTGCTTCATCTACTCATTCATCTCTGACTAGTTCACCCATTAAACAGTTTCTTCATCAACTGTGGAAGGTTGTTACTGTTAAAGGTTCAAAAACGGTCGAGGAACCAGAATTTCCTGATCAGCCGGTTCAAAACATTAACGTTGAAATTCATAATGTCGACCGGTTCTATCCATTGAGATATATATCTTCCATTACAGAACCGATGAGGAAGAGATATGAGGAACCTACAGACATTACAAGTTCTGATCTTCTATTCAATCCTTTTAGTCATGGTTTATCGTCTATTGTGTTCAGCTATAAAAAATCCACTTATTTAAAGTTAGGTGCTTCCGATAATTACAATGATATGTTTGAAGATGCACAGATTTACAAGTATGGTCTCTGCATGAAACGCGCACGCAGTAATATTTTACTGGCAATGAATTACTCTTCCAAAATATATCTGAAACTATCTGATTATTTCAAGCATGGAAAAGCTCCTTTATCGGTCCTTGTGCACCATGTGATGCTATATGAATACTATCCTGAGGAATTTCAAGATGTACTATGGTCGGCTACGCAGTTTCATGTCATGCATCAAGTACGACTGAATCGTGCAAGTTTACTTCAGGCGAGGGCCTGTTACCAAAAGTTAGGGGACATTCGTATGTACTTTATAGATCCTGCGGATATGTATGTTCCGCCAGATTCTTTGAATTGGTTAATTATCTGCACCAAAGATTTCCAGGGTCTAATTCAATTAAAACGTACTATGGATGCAAAAAAACTATTTCAAAGAAGGTCCAAGCACTTGACTTTAGCGCAGTTTGCAACTTCGAGCTCTGACCTGAGTTGGCTATGTATGATGTTGAGCATAGGACGAAATGCTCGTGCATTGCCAATACATGGATATCTGAGCGCAAAAAAAGTTTTATATCCAAGTATCATACCTGATAATGTTTTTTGCATGAGGCAAGTGGATTCTGTTTTATTCAAAGAGATTCATAGCATTCATCAATTTTTAGAATTTCAAGGGCGCTTGTTTATGGACCTCCAAGATTGTCAAACATTCCACAGAGAATACGAGATTTATCATTGTTATCGAACAGGAAAACCGTTATATGAGAGTTACGAAGAAAAAGCCAGAGGCGATGACCCTTTTGTTATGAGAAGTTATCCAAAGATGAATTTTGAAGTATCGATCAACTCTAACAAGGACATAATTGAAAAATATAAGCAAGTTTTTGAGTATAAAAGAAACTCTCTCCTCAGGCCTGTCCTTGTTGGAAATGGACAGAAAGCATCATAAATTTACTAATGCATTTTGGTTATCATACATAATATAAAAATAGTTTCCAGGCAGCAACGTTGATGAATGCGTTTAAGCCTAATTACGATGTTTATGAATTAATTAATAAAATTATTTGTTGTTTATTTAGATTGTTTCTGTATTGAAAGTTGAAAGGACTATAAAGTACGTATATAATTATCGGTTTGCTCTGTTTGTTTATTTACAATTTTATGACGCTCCAACAAGGGGCAGAATGCTACTCTTGTATCTGTCGCTTATTGTTCGTTAATATCATTTAGTAACGATTTAACTGAATTATAAGCCCTTAAAAGCTTTTTAACGGGACTACCTAACGTTGCGTTAATAAACAATACTCTTTTACCAAAGTACATTGAACAGCATTTTACCACGTACATATAGGAAGGAAATAACAAATACTCAACTCTCTAAATACAATTACCATTTACTAAAGCATATTTGCATTCATAATTGTCAACTTAGAACTTTCATAAGCTGGTGGTTTCTTTGAATTTTTTTTGTATTCTGTCTCTAGCGAAATCTCTGCTTTTTAGAAAGAGTCATTATTGTTTAATGCAAAATTGGAGCTATTTATTCTAAAAAAACAAATTGACAGGCTGCTCGGCGTGTCCCATTGGAATGATCAGATAAACAGCAACTGTCTGTTACACAAACATAATGAAGGCAGTTCTGTTTCCGGGTCAGGGTGTTGAATGGCGAAGGTGGATGCAACCGCACCTTTCTAACAAAATTGTTGAAAAGAGTTTGATCGAAGCCGAAGAAGTTACTGAAATCCCTTTGAGAAAGTATATTCTGGACGCTAAGCCTGATCATGGTTTACCAAAATTGAGTACATTTATAGCTCAGCCTGCCATCCTTGCTTGCACCATAGGACTTTTTCGTGCATTTTTCCAACGAAAGTCAAAGCCTGTCCTTTTTGTAGGACATTCTTTGGGAGAATATTCGGCACTCGTAGCTAGTCAAGCGCTACCTTTTCAATCGGCACTAAAACTTGTTATGGTTAGGGCAAGAGCAATGGATGAAGCTTGCCGACTTACTCAAGATAAGACTTCTATGCTCGCTTTAACTCTGTATAATCGATCGACATGTGCAATTAAATTTCAGGAAGACGTAATCAAAGCAAAAATGCCTTTTCCCTTGATAGACATTGCCAATGTTAATTCTTCCAGACAGATCGTGCTTTCCGGAAACTACGAACAGCTTGAAACGCTTTCAACTTCCATACAATCCAAGTCAGTAAACCTTGGTAGAGTGCGAACAAATTGGTTGGATGTTGCAGGTGCGTTTCACTCCCATTATATGCTTCCTGCGATGGAACCATTGGAGGAAGCTCTCCAAAAAACTGAATTCCTCACACAGGAAACGGAGACGAGCTTTATCTCCCCTAGCAATGAGCTTCGACTGCCTGTTGTTTCCAACGTTACGGCCGACTTGTATCCAATTGAAGCTTCAAAAATACGAAAGCTACTTCTTCTTCAGTGCGTAAAGCCCGTCCTTTTTTGGCAAAGTTTATCTCGGCTGAAGTCTGAACATGGGATTACTCAATGCTATCCATGCGGGCCTGGCAGTACAATGCAATCATTGGCGAAACAAAATGAGATGCACGTCGAGGAGCAGCATTATTGAATGCAGTTTAACATGTTGGTACTCATCTTGTTATTTGTCGAATCCAAAAGCATCGTATAAGAGCGTTAGTGTATAAATCTTTTGCATACTAGAAAAATCATTTCTACATATCTATATATTGTGAAAATAGAATGTTGAGCTCAAGCATTCAAAGTAATTACATGGTTGAACATACATGTTTACAAATCAATTATCATTACTCCCTTACTATATACTAATAATACCGGAAGGAACAATTTTGTCAATACGTCCACTCAATAAGCTAATATATTTAGAGCTGGTACACTACCATGGATTTTGAATATGCTTTCACAACCGTGCCATTTAAATATATTTTTTGACTTGCTATTCAAATGACAAGACAAGACGAAGGCAAGAACACAAACCCCAAATGTATGCATTTACTTAAGCTTCTTCTTAGGGCGGAGTTGGTTGGTGTGACCACACTTTTTCTTACGGCAGTTGGTGGCACGAGGAGGAAGGCGAGCATAGCACTTACGGCAGATCTGCTTTTCGCAGTTGTGCTTGCTGGCCAAAGCCTTCAAAGAGGGCTCAATGATACCACCACGAAGACGGAGAACCAAATGAAGGGTAGATTCCTTTTGAATGTTGTAATCGGAAAGGGTACGGCCATCCTCCAATTGCTTACCAGCGAAAATCAAACGTTGTTGGTCAGGAGGGATACCTTCCTTGTCCTGGATTTTGCTCTTGACGTTGTCAATAGTGTCAGAAGACTCCACCTCAAGGGTGATAGTCTTACCAGTCAAAGTCTTGACGAAAATCTGCATGTTGGTGGTGGACAAAGGATCTCTGTTGTCGAATTATTCCTCTAGTTTTGGGCCCAAAAAAGCAGTCACGACCAGAACCCTTGAAACCTGATACTTCATTTGGTAAACTGAAATAACGAATTACAGTGACATTCAAACTCTCGTTAAATGATGGAAATTGTCGTTTTCATAAGGCATGGGAATCCGAATTTTTTTATATTGAATCATTATTTAAATTTCTAATGAATTGTATGTAAGTCGGAAAACCTGCTTCAACTTTTCCAGTTTCATGGGTGACCTACTCGGAGACATTTTCGAGTTTTCATTGAGAAAGACGAGTAAAGAATTGTGAAAATGTAGTTATAAAGCTAGAAAGAATTTAATTTTGTGCTTTTTCTTTTGTAAAGTAAGAGAAGGAATTTCAAAAAATCATTTGGTGATCATTTTCGAGACCGATTTACGATATTGTGAGTAAACAAAGTCTGAGATGAACGAAAGCGGTAGAACCATTCTATTAAAATCTTTAGATATCAACGACGAGCATAAAAGTTTGCATAAGAGGTACCATAAGCTCAGCAGTTTTTGGTCAAGAGTGATTTTGATATGAAAGGCCGGCCAATTGACATTCTCAAACGAAACTAGTTAACCGAAAATCAAAAGCTCTTTAAATAAGCGTTGAAAGATATATATTTCAATCGATTCACAATTTGACTTGTTTTGGTTTTCACGACAATTGATTCATATTCCTTTTCCATATCAATTCAATATAGTCATACTCAATTGCTTCATACCTTTCCCCATATAAAGAGTATTCTAACAGCCTTCATCATCCTACGAATCCTTCAAGCCATCTCTCGGATGTCTAAGGAATTAGTAAGTCAAGAATGTTTTACCCATAAATGATTTGAAACAAACAATTTCCATCGTATATATCTAGTTCCTCAAAACGTTGGTAAGAGAGCATAAATCTCTTAATGGGAAGTAGTATTGATGCAAAATAGTATTTTCTTCTTTATGACCATTCAGTATTTTCAATTGGAAGAGAAAGAGTCGCAATCATACTACTCTTTTTCTTAGTTAATCGGTGATCACTTGCATATGGCCTAAGTATAGAATGGTCAAAAGATCAGAAACAGGTTCAAGTTAGTGTAACATCTCAAGCATGATCCCTTTCGAAAAACAACATTCGTCTTCCTGCCAATCCAACCTTTTTTTTAAAAAAAAAAAAAGCTTCAAAAAAATCAATTTAACACACACACTTTGAGACGCTCGCCCTGACATCTTCGTCGAAATCGGGCAGTGACTTTCTTAAATTCCCTATTGAAAAATATCTGTTATGCAGCTATTAAAAGGATGATAGCTTCATAATGGTCACCGTATATCGAGTATGATCAGCAGCATTCTAAAATTAAATCCACAGATACTCATGAAGACTTTAGGCTTTAAAGAATCTTAAATGATTTTATTAAAAAAAAAAACAGCTATTTTGAAACTACCAAGAGAATGAGCGAGTGATCACAACTAACCGTGTAGAAAGCCCGCAATTCATTGTGTGAATGTAGCAGAGGAAACAAACGTAAATACAAAAAAAAAGTTCTTTATTTACGAATTCATACGAATTGAGTATCTCATAAAGTCTTAATCAAACAAACAAACTATAAGGAAATGGCGACATTTTCTATAAGAATACAAAAGCTTTCGCGATGCCTTGGTATCTCAATTGTCTCTTTAATAGAGACATACGACAAGAAATTACAAAATATAAATGTCAACCTTGTCAGAAGCCACAAGTACCATCCTCATTCACTAAATATTCTACGACGGATGAGTTGTCGATTTGTTTACGACCTATTTGGAATGATAGCTTTGTAATAGAAGACGAAAATTTCAGGTAAAACTCAAGCTGCTTGAAACAATTGTTTGTGGTTTTCTTGATGTAAATTACCATAGGAAAGAAAAAGAAAACTCGACAATCATACAAGAAGCAAAGCTATATATAAAAGATTCTACATTTTATTTTAAAGTCAACCGTATCGGGCATTCAGGGCATTGAAAATAGTGAATTCATAGAAAAAGACAAGAAAATTTACGAGAGTTATCAGTCCAATATTACTTTTTCATGTTAAACAAAGTAACTAGGTAATAGTGGACATAATGGAAAAGTAGGGGACAATAAATCAAAGATTTAAACCTAGCTTTCTTGACTAGAAACGCTTGATGAGATAAAGAAGAGAGGGGAAATCCATTTACATAAATGAGCAAGTTTTGCAACTACTGAATGCATTGCAAACAAATGAGAGATATACATAGGCATAAAGAACAGGAAAAGAACTCAAAGTCTCTCCATTCTCTCCAAAATAGCACGAGTGAATTCCTCAGTGTTAGCAGTTCCGTTCAAGTCTTTGGTGACAACCTTTCCGTCCTCGATAACAGAATAAGTGGCAGCATTAATCAAATCGGCATACTCCTTCAAACCAAGATGACGAAGCATCATGCAAGCACTAAGTATCATGGCGGTAGGATTGGCTTCATTACGTCCCGAGATGTTCAATTGAGCATGACGACAGCCAGGTTCAAAAAGGGCATGCTCATGTCCAAAATTAGCACCGGGGATAACACCGGGGCCACCAACGAGGGCACTGCCAATGTTACTCAAGATGCTGCCGTACAAGTTGGGAGTGACAAGCACATCGAATTGTTGAGGGCGAGAGACGGCCTGCATAGAAGCATTGTCAACGATCAAGTCATTAGCGGTAATGGACTCGTAGCCAGCGGCGGTGTTGTAGAAGGTTTTACGGAAAAGACCATCAGCCAGTTTCATAATATTGGCTTTGTGAATACAAGTAACGGTCTTTCTGTTATTTTTAAGGGCATAGTCGAAAGCAAATTGGGCAATACGCTTCGACTTTGGTTCAGTGATAATTTTAAGAGACTCTACCACTCCTGGAACGGATTGATGTTCTAAACCGGAGTACTCACCTTCAGTATTTTCACGGATAAGAGAGAAGTCAACACCGCTATGACGAGTCTTTACTCCTGGGATGTTCTTTATGTGCGACAAAGACGCAAAAAGGTCCAATTCTTTGCGCAAAGCAACATTAAAAGATGTGTGTCCGTCGCGTTCTGAAGGAGTATAAAAGATTCCCTTCAAACCAACCTTATTCCGGTTCAAGGATTGAATTGCTTCATGCAAAGCTACTTCTGTCGGCTTGTCTGTTTTGTCCATTCCCGTCACATCGATCTCTTCAAATTCTACCGGGACATTAGCAGCCTTGAAGATAGATGCAACCGATTTGGTAGTTTCTTTTCCGGTACCGTCGCCTGGAATCAGAGTTACCGTGTACTTTCCACCATATTTTAAAGGTTGAAATACTGATGACCTCCTAACTGCTGTTTTGAACATATCCTACTTGCTGTTTTCTAATCAACTTGGGTCCTTTCAACGTATTTTGTTGTTGGTAGAGGAAAAGCGGGTAACTCGCTCGATATCCCTTATTTGAATCCGACGATGATGCCTATATCCTATAGTGCAATCAAAACCCGCGTAGGCTTACAAAGTTCTGTTAGCTACCTTGTTACCTATTTGCGAATCTTGCTAAGACAAAGTCAAACGAACAAGTCAAAGAGACAGAAAAAAGAAAGAGAAGGTAAGAACTTTTCTTTCTCCTCGATTTCTTCGTTCAAAATTACTTTTATAGAATCCGAAGTTTGCGTATTCTCGCACACTATGAAGCATATATTACTCTTTACGAAAATGATTGTATATAAACATTACAAAGCGTCGCTACGAAAGCTTTATGTTACGAAAACGAAAAGAATCCCGCTCTACAACTCACATTATGAACGAAAAAGGGGCGACTTAATTCATAAATAAAATTATCCCTAATGTTTTACATAACTTTCATAAGAAAATTAACGACGATAACGTCTCAAGCAAAGATGGTAAGATAAAACGGTTCGGTTCAAATAAAACAAAGACAAATGAAAATAAGTTTGTACCTATGCATGCATACATTTGACCATAGCATAGCATTTCAAAGGGCGCATGAGTACCAACGGAAGCGTACATGAGGTTAGATATGAATGGGAATGTAGAAATAAAGAAAAGTAAAAACAAAGATCTGGACTTTTTTTCTTTATTAAAGAAAATTTATTCTTGACCGAAACCAATGGTTTCTTCAACAGCAATAGACAATTTATGGTCCAAATCATGCTTAGATATGTATGGCGGAAGATCCAACCGGTTAAAGCAAGTATGTGCTTTTGGTAGTTTTGATGGTTCGCCAGACTTCTCAATTGTAAACCTTCGAGGGCCATCGCTTCCCTGTAAATCCTTGAATCCATTCACAGGAATACGGCTCGTGCCCGTAGTAAACTGCAAAAGGCGAGACTTCTTTTCATTGCTCCATTCATTCATAAGCTCCCAGAACCATTTGATAATTTGGTCATTGTCACTGTATGAACGATAATCTGTATGTTTTTTCCAATCATCCATATCTACCTCTGAGATACCACCAATCAAAAGCTCCAACTCTCGTTCATCAAATACATTTATCAAATCTTGGGGAATAAGTTCACTAAATCCATCATGAAATGCATTAAATTGGTCTTCTATGCGTTTCTGCACACGCCAAACCGTCACCAAATCCACATATTCTTTTTTGTTTTCTTCAGTCACTTCAATATTACGTCCATCCGGCTTTAAATCAATCGTGACCACTTCGCCAAAACAGTTATCTTCCACGCTGAACGTCAAATCCAGAATTCCAGTAATATCATTTTTCAAAATCCAAACTAAGCTTCGATAGTACTCTGCATCCATGCTTTCCATGTCCTGTAGAGTTATTTTCTTTTGCAAAATCATTTTGTAAAAAGAGACGACAAAGAAAGCATCAACGAAACGTCGATGAAAGACAGCTAGTCCGATCACACGTCCAATAAACTTAAAGTAATTTAAGTGTTCGGGATTGATTCCAGAATGCGGGTTGATTTGCAATGTATAGTTATCCATAGAAGAATATTCAAATAAACAGTAAAAAGGGTTAAACATTTCATGTGACAACAGATAAAAGTATTCACGCGATAGACCACCATAATCCAGTCCGTCTTCTCCTTCAAATTTAATCATCAAACGTTTTTTTAGATCTGACGCTGACTGGCGCATGATTTCTGCATATGAATCCTCAAAGATGCTGTTTCGTCGAACTTTAATATGACATTGACCAGGTAAAGGATGCAAAGCTGGTTGGGAAAGGAAGTAAATAAGTTTTCGTCTAAAATCACGTTTGTACTGTGGTACATTTTGATCCAAAGACGAAGGAAGACGTGGATCATCCCAAGTGGTTGTTTTCGTGTTGTGATCAACAAAATACACCCGAGCAGTATTGGTAAGACGCATTTCCCACCCACTTGGTAGTGGTCCCAATTGTGATACAGGTTGCTGTTGAATTGTCGCATTGTTCGGACCACCATATGTCCGAATATACTGCTGTCGACGTGGATCAACCCAAGTGGTAGTTCTCGTATTGTGGTCTACAAAGTATGGACGACCTTCAGGAGTGTATCTCTGTTCCCATCCAGGAGGAAGTTCACCAGAACCAGCAGTTGTAGCATTCGACGTCAACATACTGGCTTCAGTACGTCTAGCAGGAACACTAGAAGAAGGCTGAAGGCCTTCTGTAACTGCATTGGACCCACCGTTTACCATTTGATGTTGATCATTACCTATGATAGCGCCCAAATTAGGGCGTATCCATGTTGTGCTCCGAGTATTATGATCAACATAATAAGTGCGGCCCAAATTATCAGTTCTTCGCTCCCATCCAGGTGGAAGTCTTCCATACTGATCTTCAAATGAACTGTAAGTCCGTGGTTCAACAGGAACAGCGGCAGAACTGTCAGCCGTACTTCGAGAAGGTGTTGTGCTGACCGAACTAGTAACGCCGCCATTAGGCAATACTCTTTCATTTCCAGCATTAGAGGTACGGGAGCTAGTACCGGAAGCAGCAACTGAAGGAGCCTGTAATCCGGACTGGGCAGTAGTCGAAAGATTTAATATGATTTTTCCGTGAACCACTGTATTCTCGTTGGATTTCTTCAGTTCACGAGTCAACATTTCGTCTCCGCCGACTGCCAGATCTATCACGTCGCTAATTCGAACATTTACTACACCAAGAAATCCTTGTCCCTTCTTTTTAAACTTCTTTTGGTCAAAGATCTGAACAGCAATCGTGCTACTATCGACCACGTTCCTGATAAATGTTAGTTAAAACAGACAAAGTAAAAGAACGATAACTAGGCATCAAATGATAAACACAGTCATCTAGCATTTCCAAGGTGTTTGATAAATAAAACGACAACCGCTTCAATGTCTACCGTACAGAGGTTTACATACACTTCAAATGTCTCATTCCAATACGGATTTAAAGTTTTCTTTATGGCAGTAGTAGTATGTGTTTGTTCTCCATCTACAGTTAACACTGCAAAGGGATCAGGAAATCGAAAAACATCACGTTTATAAAGACCATCAGCTGCAACGACTAATTCTGTTAGCGATAACCAATTTACAAGTCATATACCTGTTACTCGAAGCTTTCGGGCCCTGATACAAATAGTTAGTTCAATGTTTATAAAGCCGGTATATGAAACGTACTGATTAGAACTTGACATATGTACGGAAAAAATATTTTGTTACACAAATCTTTTTTCTATTTCTCGTTTAAAGGAATTTTGTCCAGAAAAAGTCCAATCCTCTGTCTGCGTTTACGCCGTAAAAGAGAAAATCGAACACACCAATTGTCCTTGAAAAGTACTTTATGGAATCGAATAATAAATATTACTTATAAGAATCAAATACCAATCCAAATTCGTGCTTTTTAGGCACAATTTGAAATCCGACGGATTTCGCGTGGTAAGTAAGAAAAACCAACTTAATACCACGCATTTTCATGAGCTTTTCTCCAGTAGATAAGCCAGAGTGTTTAATTTCGTTATTGTGAATAGCGAATTATAAGATAGCGCGAAATCAAACAATAGGAATAAAATATTAAAATTATAACGTACAATGCGATTGATGAATGGTTACAAAACAATGACTTAGGAATAGTGTAAATAGGGAAACATCTATTTGTTTTAATATATTATCGAAGAGGATTATGAGGTGTATAGCGTTGAATAGATTGCAGTTTCATAAATCAAGTATATGAAGCAATTTGGGAAATAGAATTTGGAAATAGATCTGAAGCTTGTGTATTCTAAGATTCAAATAACCATTAGCTTTGATGCAAGACAAATGAAAACGAATACACAACTCCGTAAACTTATTGTACAAATACTTTATGGGCCTTTTCAACCAAACGTGAATGACAAAGAAGGAATCCAGGTGACAAGAAAAACCATTTGAATCTTTATAAATCCAAATCGTGATCTCCATACATCAAATATTTTTGACATAGAAAACATGAAGGTTGCATGCACACCTTGAATTCCCCCGTCGTTGTATCCTTTTACACAAAAGGGATGCTCTAGACGAAAACAAACCAATGAAAACGAGAAAATAAGTAAATAAAATAAAGAAAAATAAACAAATGCAGAAATATCGTGGAAAGAAGGTTATGCGGGAATAAAGGAAAGATTTAGAGATGTCAAACGATCGGACAAAAACACCTGCAAGGCTAGACGCTAGACAAGCGTCTAGCTTATATTTTCGGTTTTTTTAAAATTTTTTGTGAAAATAAACGAAATAAAGAAAGTTTCGTTCTATAACAACAACTGGTAATATCAAACAAGCAAATACCCAAATAAAAGTAAGTTTCTTTTGTTTGTGTCGAGCGCTCAATCATAGGAAAACATGTCTGTTCACTAAACGATCGTCTTCTTTTTTCAAGACACATAATCTTAAGAATGAGGACACATGGTAAGCTTAATTTATACCTCACAGTTCACCCACCATAAAGACTTATAATAATCATGGCTGCTATAAACCAGTAGCAATGATATTTTGTAAAGAATATTATAGCATTCTATAATATTCATGAGATGATTGAAGTTAAATCATATTTTTACGGCGAGCCTCACCGGAAGTGCGAGGTGGCATCTGACTACTGTCGGCGAATGGAGAGTAATTAGGTTGGCTTGCAACACTTTCCGTTGGAGAAGGACGGCTTGAATGGCGGGATAACAATCTGGAGGATTCAGAAGAATTAGGAGGAGCCTCACTGGTTTGACTTTCAGTATCGCTTTCGGGAATGGTAGCTAACGGGCCTTCAAAATAAGATTCAGATCCACTTTGTTCAGCTGTTTCTGGGTTATGCTCATCAAAAGGAGAAGCACCTAAACCCTCAGAAAAATTACTTCCATTGTCGGCAGCTTGAGGACCAGCTGCATTCTCTGGAGGATCAGGTTGAGTAGGATTGCCAATAGGTCTAACCATACGATTACCAGGAGGAGGACCATTTGGTGCATTACGATTAGCAGTAGCTGCTCCGCCCGCCAAACCTGCGCCAGCACCCGCGGCAGAGGAGGCGGCAGCAGCTGGGTTACCAGCTGCAGCGTTTGTGATGTTAGGAGAAGCAGTGGAATTTGGAGCTGTAGGTGCAGCGTTAGGTGCGGCAACAGCTGGTCTGGTAGCAATAGGACGACCAGAACCCGTGCTGGCGACAGCTGGTGCAGGGCTTCCACTCCAGCCACGGTATCTGTCAGGGGAAGAGGCGCGGTTAGGGCCACGGAAATTGTTGTTTTGATTGGGATTGAAACCATATTCCTCAACCTCTTGCATACGTTCAGCTTTAATACGTTTAGCCCGTTGGAGTCTCTTCCAAAAGAGGACACCTAATACAATTAAAATGAGTACCACACCGATAGGAATGGCGACGGCACACCCAATGACGACGCTTTTATGGTTGCTATCACTACTCTTTTTAGAGTTAGAAGGAAGACTACCAGAGGAAGAAAGCGGGGTTGATTTCGAACTAGACGCGGAAGAGATTGGGGAAGAAGAAGTATTCCAATTCATAGAACCAGTATGGGAGACATACGAGGTCGAAATTTCGGTAACGAACGAGGGTCCGTCGCTGTAAACGCTACTAACGATGGTACCAGAAGAACTGACTAAATCCGAGGGTGAAGGAGAAGCGGAGGAACTAGATCCAGAGCTGCTGTTGTTATCATCACTGCCAGTGTTGCTTGTTGCTTGACTCGATGAAGAAGTGGTAGGAGAAGTGTTTTCGCTAGAAATGCTGGAACTACCAGCAGCAGAAGAGGGGGAGCTTGACACAGGCGTGGACGATGACTCACTACTGGATAAAGGGGTGGAGGAGAAAGAAGCAGGTGCTGAAGTAGAGCTGAATGTATTACTCACGCTTGTAGAATTCATGGCAACAGCAATTAAATCCCCTTCTCCGTAAAAAGATAGTTTTCTCTTTGATTCTGAGTATATAAAAGATTGAAGGAATTTTTCTTTTATCTAAATAAACGGAAGCGATAAAAAAGTTGCGTGGAATTGCTTCGCTATGCCTTTTTTTTCGTTCCTTATTCAGGTTGATTGTAGTTGCTGAAGGAAAGTAAAGTTGCTATTGTGGATAGGTTTATTAGGGAAGGGTAGTGCACTTTACTGCTCAGAAAATTGTCCTGGGATATTCCAAGACTGGAAAAGGGAAATACAGTTCTTTATTTTTTTATTTGTTTTTTATTTTTTTGGAAAGGTTCATTTAGTGAAAGAAACTTTATTTTGGGGAACATGTTACCAACAATACATAAAGGAAGTCGGTTTCAATCGAATTCTCAGAGGTAAACACTGTAAATTTGAAAAAGAAAACTGAAAAGAAATATGTTTGAAAGGTGAGAATCTTGAAAATTCAAAACCATGTAGGCCTTCGGTTTGGAATACCATGAACTAAGACCAATTCAGGCACCACCAAAGTAATATTCGATATGGAGCGTAGGATCTCAAGTTTTACTCCTCAGTACGAATATTACCAACTGTACAAAAGTTTTAATTTACCATAAGTCATTTGTAGATCTGCTGTGTGCTATCAAAAGAAAGTACAATTTACCAGAAAGGAAGGAAATAGGATTAAGCAATCATTCATTATTTCAATTAGGATAATAACTCTATCAAGTCCAAACTAGATTCTTGGATATGAAAAGCTTGTGATCAATAAATATCTCATGTAATTAAGTAAACCTCGTTTAAGAAAAATTAAAGTCATATAATCATGAATATGCGAAAATTCAACAAATCAATGATATACAAAGTAGTGTAGTGCAAAAGAAAGAAATTCCTTGGTTAACCAAAAAAAATGCCTGCATATTCCATTTATATCTGAAAAGATCCGTTAAAATCTAAACATGCCAAATTCGTCGTCACTAGAATCCCATGAGTGTCCCATTAACCTTCGCATACCAGCGTCCTCTGCAGTTGCAAGTCGCGGAATAGACACTTGAGGATGATCAAGAGGTTTGTAGATAGATGATATACAAGTGTTGTAGGAATGACAAGATTTGCATTTGTGTCCAAGGAAATGATAGTTGGTATCAGATCGAGAGTTGCAATCATTACAGTGTATTGTAGTTATCCATGTATTGTAAGGATAGGGCATGGGCTGTCGCTCGATTTCCACGTCCAGGATGCGAAACATGGAATTGACGTTATTAATTGTCTTTGAGCATGTCGGACAGCGATAGTTTGTCTTAATATATTCACCATAACAACGCTGGTGCAATGGATGAGAACATGCGAGAAAAATCACTCTTTCCGTCGAGTTGAACATGTATTCTCCACAAATAGGGCAGTTGCAATCTGTACTTCGTTCAATGCACCGATGAGTATCATAGACAGCGATAGGAAGGCAAATACCACAAGTCTAGGAAATATTAGTAAGCTTGAATTAACAGACTCTGCTGTCTTACCTTGCAATGGAAATAATCATCGCCCAGACCACGACCTATTCGACAGATGCCACAGTCATCACAGTGATAGCTGGATTTCGATGGATCATCATCCCATAGTTTGCACTTTTATTATCTGTTAGTCAAATTTTAACTCATCCTCTATGGTCCATACCTTGTTGCAATAATAACGAGCCATGGACTCGTGACAAAACTTGCAGTTCTGAGCTGCCGGCTGCGCTTTAAAGCAAAACATACAAAGCATATTTTCGGTAGCAGTTCGATTGAGAGTATGATCACTCACTTCATTATGGCAATGTCTGCATGGAAACCATTGTTTACAATCAGCGCACTGCTTCTTACAGCAACGCATATAATGCTTACACCCGTAAATACCGTACTCCTGATCATGAAACGTTGGTTTTAAATCCTTAGAACTTAAATCGTCTTTATTTGTCGTCGAGCGTTTCTTATCCTTGCGATACTTTGCATATCCAGACATTAAAAGTTTCTGAATCGATTTGTTAGAAATCAAACCTTTTTGACTAAGTTTCTTTCCATACCTGCATAACAGACGCCTTTCGTTTTTCACTAAATTGTGATTGAGCCTGTATTTGCTGAATCTTCTTGCGAACCGAATCTTGGTCATTCAGGTCAACTCCACGCAGAATTTTCTCATCTTCTTCATCTTCCTCTAGTATTCGTGCTTTTTCAGACAAAACGGAACTCACTCTTGGAAGGTTTTCGCCATCTTCTTCTGTTATATCATTCAGTAAGTCTGGAGGCAATTCAAATACGGACGTTAATTCTTCAGCTGCCTCCTCAAATATCTGCGCAATTTCTCGCAGATATTCAGACCAAGACATAAGTACTAGCTAGCCTTCAAAACACCTTGGTGATTATTAATGTTTTTGTAAACGGTCTGTTTGTGGAAGAATCGTTATTCCTCGTTACATCTCATTAAAGGTTTTGTACATGAAGTTAATTACGTTAAAGAACAACAGAAAAACCATTTAATACGCGATTGAAACAATCTTAAAGACATAGAGATATACTGATTTGAAGGACTGAAGAGATGATGAGTTCCAAGCTTCAGAGAAGGATGCTTAAGGTCACATTATTATTTGTTAAATAGTCGCTGCAAGTGAAATAGTATATACACGAGTCAAAAGGGAATTATAGTATTAATTGTTTGATTTTTTAACGTCTATCAAAGTATACAAGACGGCGACTTTTATCAGAGACGTACATTATGTATAAGAAAGGATATATATAAGTATAAACAAAAACGTAATAGATACCCTTAAAAGTAATATTGTCATAACGATTTGACCTTTTTGAATGAATTTAAGAAAAAAAGATGGTTCATCTTTTTCCACGTCGTTTTTTTCCTTCCCATTCATGCCAACTACCTTGCATATCTTTTAAACTGTCACATGTTAGTCAAATAGTAAATCAAATAATTGAGTGGGAACGTACATTACAGCTGGTTCAGGAGGGGGCGATTCCGAAACAAAATATTCATGCATCAAAGCCTCATGAGCTGATGGACGATGAGCAGGATTAAGGGATAACAATTTCTGACATAGATCAATTGCCGCAGGTGTAAGTTTTTCTCGGAAGGTTTCTAGAAAGCGACAAGACTTTTCATGAGGTGGTTTTAAAAGGTTATACCATGGCATATTTTTAACCTCTGGCCAGGATTCTATATTGGGTGTTCCCATCAAATCGTAAATAATTTCTAACTGGTGTATTTCATCTTTCCCTTGGAAAAGGGGCTTTCCAATGAAAAGCTCTATGACAATACATCCGGCGCTCCAGATATCCACAGCACTATCATACTTTGTTTCTCCTAAAAGTAGCTCCGGAGGTCGAAACCACAAAGTAATAACTCGATTGGTGTAAGTTGCGCCAGCCTTAGGATAAGTCTTAAACCTTGCAAGACCGAAATCTGCAAACTTTAAATCTCCATTATTGTTTAGTAGTATGTTAGATCCCTTTATGTCCCGATGAATCACACCGAGATGATGAAGATAATCCAAGGCTTCAAAGAGTTGTTTCGACAGATGCTTGATATTTCCTGGTGTAAAATGCAGTTGAGAATTAAGTAACACACCCGTCAAATCATGATCCATGTACTCAAAAACCATATTCACAGAATCTAAAAATGATGTTAGTACGTACCAACCTATATGATGCGTACTTTTTTCAACCAAAATTTCTAATAATTTAACAATGTTTTTATGCCGCAGGCGCTGAAGAATTTTTACCTCACGAACTGTAGTGATTGGAAACTGAAATGATGTTAGCAAGGTAATAAACAACAGATAGTTGTACACATGAAATTACGCACCCCATCCTTTTCTTGTTCTAAGCGAATTCGCTTCAAAGCCACTAATTCTCCTGTTACATTATTAATTGCTTTGTATACTTTCCCGTATGTGCCTTCACCAATCTGATCTACTTTTTCGTACGCAGACTTTCCATACGTATAGGTATAGATCGGTTCTTTTGGTGGCACACACGTAATGCTTGGGGGAGGTGAATTCAAAACCATCCTTTTAGAAGGAGGCTGATCAAATCGTGAACGTCTAGAAGGCGCTGGCTCATGCGGAATATTAAATCGAAAACGGCTAGGTTGATTCCCACGGATATTAGGATCGCGATGAGAGATACCAGAGCTGGTAGGACTTGATTTCTTTGTAGAATATTGATTTGATCTAAAATCTTCTGGGGTTTCCTTACTAGGAAGATTGCTTGATCGAGACTGAATTGAGGGCATCTTAGAAGATGAATTGGCTGATGGAAAACGAGGTAACCCAGAAGGGTGAGGAGGAGGAGGAGGAGGAGGAGGAAGAGACTGTTTAGATTGAGGAACCTGGTAAGTAGAAGACGGGGGAGGAGGTGGAGGGGACCGAGGAGGAGAGGTAGGACTTGAATGGGAACGTGAAAAGAACGGCCGCTTGCGCGAACGATCAAATTCAGGGGAAATCGGGGATCGTTGAGGAGAAAACGGAGGTTTTCTATACTTATTTTTCTTTTTAGGACCTCGGGATTTGGGAGGTCTACCGTTGAATCTGGAGCGGGAAGGACCTGTACTATGGTGAAATCCACCCCTTCGGCGATCAAACTCGTCTTGATTGGAAGTCGTATCCATTAAAACTCTATGTCCGCCTAAAGCTTCCTCGTATGCATCAGAGCGTCTATGTTTTTCTTCGTTGTTATATGAATTAAGGCCATTTGGCTCGGATCCCCGCCGACGAGAAGATAATTCTTTTGAATAAGACATGGTTATAATATAGGATTAACAATACAAAGACAAGCTTGACAACAGTAAAAAATAAAATGAAAACCGACGGTATCACAAAAGCAAATAATTTTTTCCTTTACAAGTATTTTTGGTATAGAAAAGGGAAAACTCAAAAACCGATTATTGGAATCAATCAATCACTCATTTAAAGAAGGATAGGGATAGAATCCTTCAATTCACAAGAAAATCAAAGAGTAAGCTGAATCACGGCTCAAATTTTTTACAATTAATGAAAAAAGAAGTTCGCAAAGTAAAAAGTGTATAATCCTTGTTTGTTAATGATTATTAGGAGAAGCAAAGAAATCGAAAATTTTTTAAATAGATAATTCGGTAGATACTTTTTGAATATATAAATAGCAAGAAAAACGATGGCAGACCTCAATAGAGTATTTAAGACAAGAAAAAGCGGATGTATTGAGTTACACTTAGATGAACATGATTAACTTCTTCTCTTAAGAGGAGGAATAAATGAAGGTCTTTCAGGATGATAATTTAAAGGGAACAAAATATCTTCAAGGCTATAACTTGATTTCCAGGTTTTTTTTTGTATCTTTACAATTTTTGTTGTCGGTGCTTTATGTGTAGGGAAGGAGGATCGTGTCGTATAGCGTCTGCACTGTACCTACTTCCCGACTTAGTTAACCACCAGCAATGGTGATTCTATAGAAAATTGGTTGCTTATTATGGTCATAGAAAAGGTAAGTATTCTGTTTATTTGAGATTCTTATTTTGAAGCATAAATTACTTTTTGCTCACATATTACAGAAAATTGATGGTAGGATGGTATACTCGAAAAGCAGCTCTAGACACTTAGAAGAAAAGGAAATAAAGCTTTTTTAAAAAAATGTGTAAGGATAGAACAAACTTTTGATAAACCGAGTGAGCATATTCTTTGAGTCGATCTGATGAAGCAATGAAGATACATCTGGTAATCCGCATGGATCCTTAACCTTTCATATATGAAATAATCTATTTAAGGAATCAAATGTGGATTGGAAAGGCAAGTCTGAGCTTCTTATTTTAGTACATTCCTATGAGTATGATGACCAACTAGACAGATCTCGTAAGCAACTTTGTTTTACTGTCAGACACAGCCAGCGTTTGCAGGCTCCTGTTGAAGGGAGTATTCGTCTGCTGGTTCCTTTGTCTTGATTGTTTCCTTCTAATTTTAATGAAACAGCTAATATTTTAGCTTTCAGAAACACAGTACGTAGTACCACTGACGAAGCAAAAATTTGGTTAGAATAATTGTTGATTATGTATTGAGAATTCCTCTTGGATAGAAATGAATGAGCATCAACATCATATATCCTATTCTTATGTTGTAAGCGCTCTTTGTTTGAATCCTTTTTTATGTTTACAGCCAAGCTAAGAGAGTATGAACAAGTTATTTCAAAGTAATAAAGAAGGGATCCATGAGAAAAAAAAAAAAAAAAATGTATAAAGAATTATTACGATGGTCATTCATTCTGTTTTACTTGTAAACTCCTATAAACTCTACACTGAAACGAAAGTGATTCATTCATCTCAAATCTCCTTTTATTTTTTTTTTAAATTATTAACTTGATAGCTTTTTTATATTGTATAAAGATAATTTGTTTGAATTCGATTTCTTTTTTCTTATTTGTTTACTAATACAACTATAAAGACATCGTTATCGTACTTAGGACCGTCGTTGCGAAATCGTTATACCACCGTGGATTTTTAGAAAAAACAACTTCCTTTTCTGTGCTGAGGTTCAATTATTTGAATTCATTTCGTTTGTATTTTTACTTTTTGCTCCTTTGTATTCTGAAGTTTATTCTTATTTTTCGGACCAGATACCACAAAGTTTCACCTGAAGAAGTCTTGTAGAGTCAGTAAGTCCAAGTCCATCTGGAACAACTAGGCTAAGCACTTAAAAATGGAAGATGATTTGAAAAGAAATTCAAACTCCTCTGAATTCACGAGAGATGAAGAAAAAGGCCATACTACGTCGGTAGTGAGGAATGGTTTCAAGGATACCACGTTTCTAAGCTCGGCGGAAAAAGAAGAAAGCAATATTTTAAAAGAGAATGACAATAATTCACATACGCCCATGAACTCTACCATGAACTCTAATCCTGATCGAACCATGTCTTTGCCCAAGGAGAATACTCCTAATCATGCTTCAGAACGAAGTCCCAAGCACAATAAGGAAGGATCCGAAAGTCAGCCTCCTCTCCCAGACGAACCAGTTCCTGAAGAATATCAACGTCGATCACAAACAGAATCCGAAAGTCAACCTCCTCTTCCAGACGAACCAGTTCCTGAAGAATATCAACATCGATCACAAACAAAATCCGAAAGTCAACCTC